TGCTGAAAATGTGCCTCAGTAAAAAGATAATATGGATTTGTTCGGGAGTTTCCTTTATTCTACACATTGAGATGGGTTTCTTCTGGCCCATTTCCTTGCAGCCAGCTGCCTTATCTTTGTTTCTATTTATATGATAAAGTTGTCACACGAGTTGATTAACATATATTTTTTGGGACGTTCCCTAGGTATTTCATCTGGCAAAAATGGGTGAACCTCAGCAAGTGAGCGCCCTTCCTCCACCTCCAATGCAATACATTAAAGAATATACTGATGAAAATATCCGTAAAGGCATGGCTCCAAAGCCGCCTCCACCTGTGAAAGACAGTTATATGATGTTTGGTAATCAGTTTCAATGTGATGATCTCATTATTCGACCCTTGGAGAGCCAGGGCATTGAACGGTTACATCCTATGCAGTTTGATCACAAGAAGGAGTTAAGAAAACTTAATATGTCTATCCTCGTCAACTTTTTGGACCTCTTGGATATCTTGATAAGGAGTCCAGGGAGTATAAAGCGAGAGGAGAAACTGGAAGATTTGAAACTGCTTTTTGTTCACGTCCATCATCTTATAAATGAGTATCGCCCTCACCAAGCTAGGGAGACGCTGAGAGTCATGATGGAAGTGCAGAAACGTCAACGTTTAGAAACAGCGGAGCGATTTCAGAAGCACTTGGAGCGAGTTGTAGAGATGATTCAGAACTGCCTGGCTTCCTTGCCTGATGATCTGCCTCATTCAGAGGGAGGACTGGGAGTGAAAGTGGAAGCAATGGATACTGATGATGGCAGCAACTGCCTTGGACAGAGCGAAAAGCAGAGAGAGCGTTCTGGTGGCAAGAGAGATCAGGTTTTAGACAAAGATGCAGCTATGTGTAGCATTATTGATGAAATGACGTGAAGAAAACACTTTTTTTTTTGTTAGCTCACCATAGTAAGGGGCAGAATGGATTCTGAGGGTATATGTTGTATTTTGCTTTGCTGTTGTATTTTGCTTTGCTGTTGTACAAGCAGACAAAGCATTTATTGTGTGTCTGTTGGAGGTTGTGAGTGACTAGGCAGATGAAAATGTTTACTGTTTTGTGAGCTATGTGTTTATTGGTAGAAACAAAAAAATATACTTTTTGTTAAATGTATCGTGTGAGGTGGTAGCCACAGATTAAAGTTAGCTTTTTCTGTTGTGCTTTCATTTGTCACTTTCTGCTTTTTTGGGTATGCTTTTTTTTTTTTTTTTTTTTTTTAAACTGCTTTATAGTGTGGAAGCAAATAAGGGATCTGACTGAGAGGAATTGCGGTTGACAGTTCCTCAATTTCAAATAAGTAATTTACAGTTTCAGTAGGTCCATTCAGAAATGTGTAATTCAATATTAAAATCAAAACTAGTGTGAAATCTGCAAAATCCATTCCTTTCTAGTTTTGTAGTAATATAACTGTACTAAAGATAACCTAAGAATTCCTTTACTACAAATGTAGTGTGGTGTAATTTGCCTTATAGAGACACACTGTCAGGAATCTCAACAACTAAATGAATTAAAATTATTTGGATTTTAGTTTTCTTGGATGTAAATCATAACCAGTCTTGAACTTAAAAAAAGGTCTACTTTTTTTTTTTCTGTTTACACATAGATGCTTAGACTAATGTCTGTTTCCTGCGTAGTTAATAACATGCATGAAGTGAATCATTTTGCAGTGCAGATGCTTTGTATTTGCCTTTTAGGTGGGCTGTGTGCCCAGCTGAGTGTTTTTCTCAGGAAGGAGAGTCTGATTGGGTAATTAGCCTTTACACTAATTGAAAACTTCTAAGTTGGAAAGAACCTGCAAGTATTCCATCAAGTGGAAGCCCTGTCAGCCGTGTTTAAAGAACATTTTGAGTTGGATCAACCCCCTCACAGCACGAGGGAAAGGGCAATTTGATTGTGAAGAAGTGGCTTTACCTTGCCCCTCCTGCCAGGGAATTCCTTAGGCTTCCATCTTTTTGCCATGTAACACTGCAGGTTGTGTGTTTTCCAAAGTACGTACAGCAGCTGAAAACCAGGTGAACTTTATGGGTGGGGGAAGTTGTTCAAACTCTGTATTTAACTGTGATTTAACAGGCTGTGTCTCTGTTTCATTTGGTAAGTCTGTCTTCAGAACTGTTGCTTAAACAGGCAGAAGTACTTAGCAGTTGGGTGCTGGGGATTGAGGTTGGTGCAGATGCAGATGAAGTGAACTGAAGTGAGTTTATGACTCATCGGAGGACATCGTCTGCTATTTTAAGTGCACATGACATTGTAAGGAGCAAAGTAGTAGAAAATTATTTTTAGAAATGTATAAATAGTTTTACAAAGTTAACCCTTTTGTCCTTTATTCAACCACCACTGTTGCCTTCCTTCTCCCTGGACTAGATCTGAATTATGTGGCTTGTACTACAACAGTTGCAAGTGAGCAGAATTAACTTGCAAGTGTTGTTTCATGTGGAAGATATGAAGAAACACTTGTGCCTCCTGGATAAGAGTTGTCCTGTGCAGTGGAACTACAGTTTGTCATGGACATTTTAACTTTGCCATTCAAAAAGAGCTGCTGTCACAGGTGCTCAATGGTTCTCTGTTGATTTTTGTCTAATTTTTATGCTTTTAATAGTCATAGGCCTGAGTACCACAGTTTCAAAATACTGCACAAGCTGGGTCCTGGCAGCGACTAACAATTGCAGTGAACATTTTTGTGAAACCATTGAGGCAAACGGGGATCATGGAATGTAAAAAATACTTAAGGCTGCCTTCACTTTCCAGTAAGTTTCATGAATAATTTGTCTATTCTAGAGGTTTGGGGTTTTTTAGTATGTTTAAACAAACCCTTAGAAAGCTGTGGGAGGCTTCCTGGTTTTTGTTTTTGTTTTTTCAGCCAAAACATTGACTTTTTCCTCTTTGTCAGGTCAAAACAATGACAGTTTTCCCTTTTTTCTGTTATGCCTTTGCTTTTGGGAAGCCAAGGGACTGTAGCCACAGGTAAGGCAGTGGGTGGCATATGCCTGTTAGTCTGGGGAAATGCACATTTTGTATTCCGTGGGATGGTGTGACTCGCTGCCTAGCGAATTTCCTTGTAAGCGTCTTCTCTAGCGTGTTAATTAACCTGTCCCTGATGAGATCTTCCCTTATCTCAGCAAATCCTGAATTTATTTTTGGATGTGATAACAGTTGAAGTATTCTACCCCTAAAATGTTAATGTGTACAATATATGTTGGACTGTATACGCCTTGTGAAACTTGGTGAGATACAGGTAACATCAGGTGTTAAGCAGCATCTTGTTGGATGTTTTCTTAATTGGAAAAAAAAAGAAGGGAAAAAAAAGCTCAGCCCTTCTATTATGTTGTCTGAACAAGCACAGGGATAAATACAGTCCCATGAAAAGTTCCAACAGTTTCTTGATACAGAGAAGCCAAGGGTGTCACCAGAGGACAAAAGGGGAGCGTTTGTAGCTCTGATCATCTAGGGGGAAAAGAAAAGCTGTTTAATGATACAGCTCTAAAATAGTGCAATGAAGAGATTTTTCCAACAATGCTTTAAACTTATTTCAGTGTTTGATGTTTGAGTTTGGTTTTGGCTTCACAAAGTATGATCTGACTGTATGCTCTGAGTCAAGAAAAAATGTGCAGCTGTTTTAAGAGCTGCATGAAAGAGGTGATGTTGGCTCCTTTTCTACAGAAATGGTGCTCTTTTCTTGCACAAATAAAGAACAGGAACTTGGAAAACAGGAATGTAGAAACTCAGAAATTATATCAGGGCGTTCCATATGGACTGTATCTGAGGTGAAATCCAAAGCACGTGGGTTAACTGTTGCCCTGTAGCTCTCACGTACTCTTACTGTGTGATCAGAACGGCTTTCCTGGGGACACAGCCAGCAGACAGCACGGAACTGCTGTAGACGATCGTATGAACGGAACGACCTGGGTGAAGTGAGCAGAATGGACTCAGGCAGAGCTCTGGGATAACAGTTTCCTTATTTTCTTACCCTATTTATTTATTCAGAGCTCGGACGTGGGCCGTGCAGAGGAGGAATCTGTGTGGACCTGTGCTCAGTGTGTGTTATTGCAGGTAACGGGCAGAAGGGACGTGTCCTGGTCTGCAGGTGGAGGCTGGTCACCCGCTGAGCCACCAAGGTCCGTCAGCTGGTGCCATGCACTGTCCTGGCACAGCTGTGGTGAGTGTGATCACCCTCCTCCTGCCACAGCCAGGTCGCCCTGCCTTTTCCATTTGGGCAGGGCAGTTTCAGGATCCTGCCGTTAATGATCAGAATTGTTCCCGTAGCAGTTATGTGCAGTTTCCTGCTTCCCCAGAAACAAGAGTGAAGAGGAAGCATTTTCTTGACTCCTGCTTCCAGCCACAGCATGCAAAAATCCCCCTTTCTCTCAGTTCTCTCTACAAATGTGTTGCTCGTGTTTGTCTGTCTCTCAGCTGCTTTAATCCCCTGTTTTTCCTCTTTTTCACTATATATAGTATATATATATAGAAACTATAGCTTTGGTGACTGCTCTCGTGTAAGGTAGTCAGTGCGAGACAGCTCTGTTGGTTCTGATTCTAGCCTGAGGTATGTTTTTGGAAGCATTTCTGCTGTTTCAGTTATTGATAAAATTAACACCTTAGAACTTATTTTTGTCTGTATAAAACTGTGTGAAGTAGGTTGGTTGCTTCAGGGAAGAACATCTGTTGGCCCTAGATCAAAAACACTGGATCACAGCTGCAGTTCTGGTCCAAACTATAAGAAGACAAGGTGTCCTCAGGAACGGTGAGGTAGGTAATCCGGGGACATGGAACACTGTTTCTCGAAAGCTGTATTTCAGCAACATTTTGTTGAAGCGAGCCTTGAGCCTGGGGTGACATGGTTTCCACACTACTTTTAAAGTGACCTCTGTGTTCCGTACGTTTGGCTTCGTATTGCCGAAGCCCAGATGCATACAGAATTTGTAAGGGTCATGTGAAAAAGGGCTACAGCTCCATCAGGCTACGGCTGCCTAACAGTAGGCCTGCTTCCCAGCACTACCAAATTGCAGTCTACAGAGAAAATAGCATTTGCCTAAAGATGCTCTGAGCTGCCTCTAAGTAGCAGAATCAGAAATTTGCCGTTAAATGCTTGAGTAGTTCTTCCCAGGGATCTGTTGCTTTGCCAAACCCTTTCCATTTACCACAGTCTGTTACGTATCTTATGTAATCTCTTACGCAAATTCTATCTACTATGGTCAAAAAAAAGTGTGGGGAGCAGTATGATGGTTGTGTCAGCTCGGTGATGCTGACAACAGTTTCATCTACTGTAATCAAGCAGATCTGGAAAAAACGAGAAGTAGATTTCTGAAGTACTGCGAAGTATTTTAGCCTTTTAGTCAAACCACAGTCAGCAAGGGTTCAGCTGAGTACAGCACCAGCAGCAGCGCTTGGCTGTGCTGCTAGAGACTGAGACTAACCACAGGAAAGGCAACCCTGCTGAGACTAAAGGGCATTCTCAGCTGTGTCTGCGGTGGTGTGCTGGGAAATAAACCCAGAAGTTTACGAAGAAGATAAGTTTTATTGAATGGAGGTGGTGCCCGAAGAGTGAACTGGAGTGTTGTTGCTTGTCTTCAGCCACAATGGCTTATTTCTGCATGAACTGGATTCTTCTGATCCTGTTTACAGGTAACAAATCGGGCCTAAACAAGTAGGTGGAGGTGGATGGAGGTAACGTGCATCAATGTTTCTGAGGGTTGCAAAGAGAATTTACATTACAAGGGGAAGAGTGTCCACGTGGCACAGAAACTGCAGTTTTGTGTTATGAATAGAACTTATCACAGTAGCTCAATAGTCTTCTGATGGCCTTATCTCCTTTTTAAAACAAAATCATGTTGAGGGTATAATAGTTTTAAAGGTGCTGCTTCTTGGGCTGACTGCTAGTCTTATTAGTGAATGATCTTTTGGGGTTTTTAGATATTCATGGTCTGAAATGAGCAGAGAACTTCGTTTTAGAGAAGATGTAAAAAGGATATTTCACTTCAACAGGCTTTGCAAAGGTGAATGCTTAGGAAGACAAGGAAAAGGTCAGCTGTGACTTCTGGTGGTTTTTAGCCAATATGAAATTTTATTGGGACAAATAATATTTTTTTGGGACAGAGAATTTCTTGGTTTTATTCTGAGGAAGCAGAACTAGGAAAATATTGTTAAAGGCAATAGCACTGAAAACAAGTTGCAGAGAGGTACTAGTATAGGCAGATAGACATCAAAAATTTGGTTGTAGGATATGTTCAGTAGAAAGAAAAGGGATATTACAGATACTATTTCCTCTAGTTCTTTATAAAGCCTTTTATGATGAGATTCATTTAGCGCTTGCTTTTTTATATTAAATAAAATACATTATTTTCCAAGATTAGTTTCTATTATACTGTTGTGGCAAAGTCTCTGAATGCAGACTTATTTTTAACTCTAACAGATTAGCTTAGGGAAGTTACTGAGCTGAGCTGGGGAAAACAGCTTTTTCACAGGGGGCAGTGGCAATCAGGCTGTACAGTGCTGAGGATCCACCGGTGCCTGTTGGTGGACCTGCCTCGGGGAGCTCCCTTCCTGATTACGGACTGGGCTAGACTTTTAATAGAGACAATTTGTTGCCTGTACTTGCTGCGGAGATTTCTATCCCTGAAATGTTGATACGGATAGATTGAAATACTTACACACGTGATCCCGTCTTACTGAATTTGATAAGAAATGTGGAGTGGTAAGTAAATGGGAAACAGTTTTCTTTGAAGTACAAGCAGACAGAATGTGCACCTCGGGAGCCCCACTGCATCACCTGTTAGAAGGTGATGGTTACACGATGGCTGTGACTGGATCACCAGGGCACAAATGATTTTGGCTGGCACTTAATACAGCTTTCATTAAAACCCTCCTAAAGGGAATATTGAATGAAGTGGTATATATACAGCAAAATAAATTATCTCACTCTGATGAATGGTCTACTGGCTGCTAGGTCTCACTGTTTTGACTTGAATAGTGTGACACAGCCTTCTGGAAACATGAAAAATGACTTTTAATGGGAGTTAGAAACGGCATAAGAATGAGATAGGAAAATAAGTTAGTGAAAAAGAGGGTATAAAATTTCTCAGAATAGCTCTGAAAAAATCTCTTCTGATAGGAATAGGCAGAATCTGTCACTACACAAGAAAAAAGGAAACCGGTTAAGCAGTGATCATTCTGATGAAACCTGCTGTTTAGTGGCTTTTCATTGAAAGGGAGGAAGGGTTTCCCACAATGGTTTTAATGAAAGTCAATGTCTTACTGTTCCTCCATGTGCAGCTTGGATTAAATCTGAAATAAGTTAAAAAATAAAGAGCTAACAGACTGGACATGGCTGAAGAGAAGTTGTGCAGATTCAAACTCTGTTCTCTTCACCTCTCTGCCTACCTGCAGAGGCTGCAGAAGGAGTGTTTCTTCTTTCTCTGGCTAGAGACACATTCTGAACAAATCACTGGCATGATCATTATCCCTCACTGTGTCAGTCCAGCTGGGATTCACATCTATTCGTGGAAAACCTGATCCAGCAATGCCTGGTGGTGGTTGCAAGATGGGAGGTATTGGGTCATGCAAGATGTGCAAGAAGCTTCCACTTGGTGCACGGTGCTCAACAACTACATTTGTCTTTTTGTCCACAGGCCCTGCAGTATTGGGATCCCTTGTGAAGGGAACGGTTGGTCAGAATATCACTGTGCCCTGCTTTTACAGTGTTAAGACGACACAAGACATCACATCGATGTGCTGGGGTCGTGACAGCTGCCCTGTTTCAAAATGTTATCGGACCATTATCTGGACAGATGGGTGGAAGGTGACAGAGAAGTACAACAGCAGGTATTCGTTGGAAGGGAACCTGCAGAAGGGTGACGTGTCCCTCACGGTCATGAACGCCGAGGAAGCAGACAGTGGGATATACTGCTGCCGCGTGGAGATCTCAGGGTGGTTCAATGATCAGACGAGTAATCACAAAGTTGTGATAGAGAAAGGTGAGTGCAGAGGTGCTCTCTTGTGTCAGTACCGTGGTGGTAAATCTGCTGTTGAGTCTGGATTTCAAAGCTTGTGGTGGAAATTATTTCTGTAATCGTCCATAAAACTGATCTTTAGGACTTTGCAGATCTGCTTGTTAGTGCTGTTTAAATTAAGCTCTCTTTGGCATTGTTGTAATCCCAGCACAGTCCATGCAATTAAAAAAAAAAAGGGCATGGTGCTTTGTTTCATGGTGCACAGCACTACCGAGCTTTCTTAGAAGCACGATGTGAAGAATTTAAGAGAAAGGGCATAATTAATTCATCTGAAGCACTATACTTGTAGCCTTTTCATAGAAAGCGGTGCTTCATTTTCCCTGCTTGATTCCAGAGTAAAGCCCAGGGACACAAAATTACTATAGACAATTTTTTTTAATCAAATCTTCCTTTGATTTTTAGTGTTTCTCTTGTTTGTAAAAAGCATAATAATATATGGAACAAGTAGCTGACAGATGTACTTGTGTAGCTGGTGCTAGCAAATTTTTATGGTAGAAACGCTTTCTCTTTTTCACTACATAAATGCACACTAAGGTTAATTATAATGTATGTTGGTTTTATTTTTTTAACATCAGCTAGGATCTCTACTGCAAGTCCTCACACTTACACCTCTGAACAGACCTCAGGTAACTTATCCAAGTATTAATCTCAATAGCATATATAACCTATATTGCAAATGGGGATCTTAGGCAGGAAACAAAATGATATAGAAATGTCTTGGCTAAAACTTACTAAACTTTACAATAGGACCAGAGATCAGAACTTGGATTTAAATTCTGATTGACAGTATACAGAGAGTCCAACACAAGGAATGTGTATTCATGGGAGGAAGTTTGCTTCCAGGTGTTACACTTAAGTAGGTGTTTTACTGGTGCTGCAAGCATTGTTTTTCTAGTGGCTGTTGTTTTGGTATGTTATTTTCTTTGTGATATAAAATCTCACCTCATCTTCTGGAAATGCATCCCATGAACAGTAAAACACAAATTTTTAGGAGTTGGGTCTACTCACTATTTAATCAATTTATTTGTCGCTCTGTAACATAAAACTGTTTTATTGGACTGGCTCAAAAGTGCATCTAATCCAGGATCCTGTCTCAGTAGCAGTCAACAGTAGATGATTAAGGAGGATTGTAGAAACAGGGAAGTAATTTTCTGATACAATGCCAAAGTATTCTTCTACCCTGGTATAATGTGTGTCTTGAAGGCTGCCCACGTCCTCTGTATGCTATGCATTTAATAATGTGAGACCTTCCATTGTAGTGGAAGAGGCAGTGAACAACTATTCCTCACAAGTTTATAGACTTCTATCATATACCTACTTGGCTGCATTTTTCAGTCTGAAAAAGACAAGTTTAATTTCTAGTACAGAAGAGAGAGCTCATAGTGTAACAATAGTTTATTCCCTGGATTTTGAAAGGAAAGTTAGGGATGTGTTTGTATGTCTCTGTCCATCTCCAATATTTCCAGCTAAGCAACTCTAAATTGTTACAACAGTTGCATTTCCTTTTTGGAAGAAGAAGTGAAAACTTTCTCAGGGTGTTTCTGTTCTAGTTGCAAATAATATGGCTTCCAATCTTAGAACTCACGGGTTTGCTTAACCTTGTGACATCTTCCTTAGCTGCTAGTGGAACAATTTTTTCTGTTTTCAGAATACAAGTTTATATGTGCGTGTTCACACAGAGGGAGACTGGAAAAGGCAGGTGCCCATGTGCTTCTGATGTAGGAATACTCCAGCATCTCTCATGAAAGGGAACAAGTGAAGCAGATGATGCTGTCCCCTTCAAAATAAAGCTTCTAAAGTTTGTAGCTCTGATTTTTAGATACTGCAAACAGCTGTGTTCTGACAAATTACCTCAAAATGTGCTGCAGGTCCTTAAGCAAACATATCACACTTTGGTCAGTCTGTTTATTGTATAGCTGCCTGGGACTTTAAAATTATCACTTGCTTTCTTCAACTCTGCACCACTTGCTCTTTCAAGGCACTGAGATAGCCCAAGTTTGCTTTAGGCATCCGCTGCCTCTCCTTGGCTCCAAAACCAGATGCCTACCTTAGTAACTCCTTCCTTCCAGGCCCTGTGTTAAGATATTAGCGAGAGCTAAGTGTCTCCTGGAAGGAATTCAAAGCTCTGAAAAGGGCAGCAGAGGCTTCAATATTCAGAGTTTTATGCTGCCCTCTGAAGGCACCAACCTCTTCGTGATATGCAGAGCCGAGACTCCTGATAGATCGATGGTCCCAAGTCAGCAGTACAAATACCTCTGTCAAGGCAGAATGGTTCTCTGTGCAAGTGATGTGTTTGTCTTGCCTTTGCTCAGCTCCTAGGAGCGCCAGCGAATCATCCTTTGCCATCACAAGAACGTGGCCGTCTGTTTCTGCTTCAGAAGCTCCTCAGACTGTAAGCATCTCTGCTATAGCATATCTAGACAAAGCGGACAGACATGAGAGGTTGTTGGATCACCCCTACAGTTCACTTGTACGGCTTTAGTTTAATTGTAAAAGAGTATTTTTTTTTTTGGTAGTCTGCATCTTATGAAAGAATGCTTATGTGTTCTTTAATAAAGAGTCCAAAACTCCCTGCTTTGCATGCATAAAGTACTTCCTACTTTAAAGCAGGAAAGGCTTTAGCAGTATCTATATTGCTTTTCAGGCCTCTGGTCCCTGCTCGGGCACCTCAGACTGCTTGGTTGTAACTGCAAACATGCAGGTATGGCAGGATATGGGGAAGAGTTGAAACTGGACCACGTGACAGCACAGGGATGCCCTGCACTCCCCATGCAATGGGGTTCAAATAGTCAGTTCTGCATCTGCCCTGCTGAGTCCTCTAGCACTTACTGCAGGGTGACAGGCAGTAACATCACCCAAATTTAATCAGGAAGACAAGACAGCCAAGCTAGCCTTTGCGAAGGTCTGCCATAACGTACTACAAGGCAGTATGTGCTGTGGGCATTCATATTGCTGCATGTGCAGAATGTGAGTTGGGGACCATACCGTGCGCAGGTTCCTGGTTAGATATCTAATGGCTGTCTTCAGAAAGAAGTTTTGCCTAAATAAAGACCAATGCAAGGAGAAGGAGTATTTACTTATGGGTATAAAGCCTTGAATATCTAATGAATAAGTTGACAAAAGGCAGGAGGGTGTGCCATCAGGAGATATTTCAATCATAAAAATAAAATATTCACCAAGTAGTATTAAACCTGAACAAATGGGATTTGTCATAACTTCAGGTCCTGTGACAGTCTCATAATCTGTTTAATAGCATGGTTCACATAACTCTTACAGTGATTCTGCTTGAAACTAGTCCTGAAATTAGCCTCTTGCTCTCAAGTGTGCTTTTACAGCAGGGTTGCAAAACACTCAAATGGCCTTTGGCTACTGTATGGGCTTCTTGCTCTCAGTGCCGCTAATGCTCATCTGTTTTGTGTTTGACAGAACATGTCTGTATCCTTTCCCAGTCAGCAGTATTCAGAAAATGGGCTGTACATTGGGATTGGTTTATGTGCAGTACTTCTAGCAGTCCTTATTTTGGCTCTGTTCCTCGCTAGACGTAAGTACTTTTCACAGGTGGTTATTCAAGGGTTGGTCACGTACGTCTAATCACAGCCGTGGCAGATGCCACTTCTGCTCCAGGGGAGCTAAGGTCTCTGGATGTCCTCGCTCTGAGCCCTGCACTGTGGTTGCTGGCTCAGCTCTCCCCCTGAGCCGCTGGGGCATGCAATGGCGAGGTGCGAATGCGGTCTCGTCATTTTATGGCTCAGACGCCGTAGCAACCACTCGACCCAGGGGCTGGTGAGGAGATGTGTGATACAAGCCCACCTTTCCTGCCCCACTCGGTTCCTCCTGCCCATTCCTCAGTTGCCATCTTGTCCCAGTCCTTCCCAATGCTAATGGGAGGGGCACTGGTTTCATATAACCATATCCAATATTCTTTTATGTGCCAGACTTTCTGCATAGAGGCGCTTGGTCAGACCAAGCCATACAAATTAGATCCCATGGAAATAATGGGGATTTTCTATACTGAAAACATTTGCTTAGTTTCCATTTGTTTAGTTTCCTTTTTAGTTTCTTACACTTGAATATTTTTTTTTTAAATCTGCAACTTACCTGCTTCTGATGGTTTAAAGAAAATTAATGGGTTTCTTTATTTTTTTTCTTTATTTTCATTCTGGATGATCCTTAGACTATTTATATAATACAAAGAAGACCGATGGCTTTGCAAAGTAAGTTCTGTTTCTGCTTTAGCTAATAGGACAAACTAGGTTGCAGAAAGAAAATGTCAATATGCTGACCACTCCACTACATACTTTGACTGTTTTTCAATCTCAAGTTAATAGGAAACATTGCAAAAAGAAAATAATAAATCCTGCTACTTATCATTAGTTAGTAAGCAAAAGTGACTGTAACTGTCAGTTCATTGCATTAGGGAGCATGCAAACTTCATGTGGGTTGTCTGATAAGTGGAAGAATGATTCATTGTCAGTCATGTTTAAATAAGTTTTTTTTGCATATTTTACGTTTTTCCAGTGAGCTGGTTGATTTAGCTATCTGCTCCTCTGTGTTTCTGTTGTCTGTTTTTTATTTAACAGCGTTGTTTTTACTCTTTTGTGCAGCTTCGTTGCGTTTTGGAGGCCAGAAGGTGCAGGGAACCATAGTGCCCTGGAAGATGAGATCCATGCAGAGGAAAATATTTATATAATACACTAAGAGCTGTATGCGTGTTTGCCTTTGTCGTTGCTGGGACATTTAATAGTTTGCAAATGTTAGCTGCTCCCTCTGCTCAGCAGCTTCATGTGACTGGACTACCGAAGCATTATTCACATCATTCTAATAAAACAAATAAAAGCTACACTTCTAATTGAAACTTTATCAGCCTGTTCCAGAAACAGAAACCCTCCTGGCTTGCATAGAAATTTCCAGAATCCGCTTATCAAACCCTGAAGAAAGTTACCATTATATTTATTATCTTCTTCAACTTCTCTCTTCCTTTTTTGGAAAAAAAAAGTGCCAGAGTGGCTACTCTGTTGTAAAAGGAAAACCACACCTGTTTTTTAAGTTTGTCTTTACTGTCTGTTGTGTCTGCCAGCTACAAAACAGTCCATGCCATCAGAGGGCAGAAGCAATCTCATAGCTGCCATGACAAAGATGACACATGGAAAAACTTGCTAATATTAGTATTTCAATATACATTTAGTTGAATTTTCATTGAAGTCAGGTATACCCAGTCCTGGTAACAGCTCAGTAGTGCAATGTGCTAATTCCTGTCCACCCACAGTTAAATCTGGAGGAGCTATTGATGCTCAGCATATCATGGGATGTCCTTAGGGCCTACAGGATCAGTACTTCAATGTGCAGGATATTCACAGCTTGTTTTCAGAAAACCATGACTAAGTGTGTTTTCCTCTGCAAAATACATCACCTTGTTTTCTCTGTGGCTTTCTCCTTGGGTGTGCAAGTGCCCTAAGAAGTCCTCAGGGTGGAAAGTCTCACTTCCAGGACTCTAAAACAACTGAACAAAAACCCCCTACTTTGTGAAGTTAGTGAAATTCTTACTTTTCTTAGCTTGTGGAAGTCATGGACATTGCACAAAATATATGCTGAAAGTTTGCCCTGCCTTTACACCCCTCTAGATCCCAAGTGACTCTAATGTCTTATGCTGAATTTGATGGCTTTTAGCTCATAAACAGGGAGTATCTGTGGCCTGGAGCCTTTCCTCCATTGCTCCTCAGTTAGACCTGGCTCTCAGCTTTTGTTCTCTGCAACACTAAACTTTGATTTATTTAAATAAACGGAGGCAGCCCCATGAGGATGAATCAACACTTTATGCATTGTTGACCACTAGACCCAACACACCCAAATCAGCTTTAACTGGAAGAGTAATTTTCCCCAGTTGTTTTTAAGAACACATTTTTAAACAGAAGCTGGGACTACCTGAAAGAGCAGAAAAGAGACCTCCTGCCTGCAGGCAGAAGAGAGACCAACTCTTAATAAATATCAATCAGTACAAATTTTGCCCTGAAGCTCATCCCAAGCAGCAATGTGGAACACCTAAAGCAGATATTTCTGTCAGAGGCAAGACTTGGAGATTTACCACAAACTTTATATCACTGAGTTCATCATTTTCAAGGGAATCATGTGAAGAACAAAGCTGTGTTATGCAATGAGGTGTAAAGGAGCAATAATAAAATCAGTAGGTATTTACGTTAACAGCTGAGATGCTTGGGGGCCACAGCCTGGTTGTGCTTTAAGGGGAGCTGGGGTCAGTGGAGCAGTCAATCCTTCCCCCAGCTGGTAGAGACAGGAGGGCTTGAGCAGGCTGGGGAGGGGAGCGTTTTCCCCCAGGAGTCCTGGAGAGCGTGGCTAAGGTGGGATACCACAGGTGAGTGTGCTTGCAAAGACTCACAAAGGAGCGAAGGGCTCCTTCTCCTCCTGTTCTGAAAGGAAGAGATGCAAAGCAGTTTGGAATAGGTGACCCTGGTGTGCTTTGTATTTTCATGTGTGCTGTGTGTTGTCTTGGGGCTGTCTGTTGGAGCAGGCCTAAAAGGTTGGAAATTTGGAGGTGAATTCATGGTTGACTGAAGAGCTCAGTGTGGGAGCACAAAGATTAGGTGATTACTGATCCCTAGGCCAGGAAAGGTAGTAGAGGAAACCAGCTCTGCCACTTTCTGTCCTCATGTCACATGTTGTCTTGTGTAAGAACATACTGAAACAAGAAAGAACTGGCTAGTGTTAGACTGTATTTTTGTATTGGTCATTAGTAACAATTACTAAACTAAAATGACTGACCCCACCGCAGACATTGCTTTCCTTCTGCCTGGCTGAGCATGTTGCTGCTGTGGGCTCTAGCCCATGACCGGCGCTGGAGGAAGTCTGATCTGGTCTCTGAACTAGATCTCGGAAAACATCTTCAGCAATTTCTGCTTTCTGCAACTTGTACCAAATCAATCTCTGCTGGGATCAGAGTTAGACAAGTGTGGAGTTTCCAAAATGATCTAATTCCAACCACTCACACTCTTAAGGAGTTTGAGGACCATCCTTGAAGACTGCTAATCATGAAAACTCGTTGCCTGTAAGGATTTTTTCTTAATATTACGGACTAATTCAGACTAATTCATATATCAGAGAGTTTTCATGCAAAATAAAGTTCTTTAACCAAAATCTCAATTAGAGTTTCCTTTCTGCTGTGCAGTTACTTGGTAAACAGATTCTGCAAAGGCTGTGCAGAGCAAGAACTTTGCCTTGGATATGCAGTATAATACATACAAATACATGCAGGCAGAAGGCCTCTGTACTTTTTCATTACTTACACTTGTATTAGTGGATTGTAGAACAGGCATTTCAAAATTAGCCCCAGAGATGTGCAGGTGGCGCTTGGAGCCCGTTCACCCATTAAGAGATTATCCAGCTGTACACAAACTGGCAGCACACTGAGCGTGAAAAAGCTAACTAACAAGCTGCAAACTGTTTTTTTTTTTTTTTTTCTGAGACCACTCTCTGCCTTTCCTTTTCTGCCTGCAAGAAGCCACTAGATAGCAGTACAGAAGCAGAAAGCAGGGCATATTTTTCTGTTTCTTCCCACAACACTTGGATTTTGGGCAGCCTTTTTCAATTCACTCTGCTGCGTTTTGCCTGGTCTTGCTCAAGAAACAAAGCTAACATGATGCTTTATTCGTCCTCTTCCTTCCCTAGTCACCTGCAACATACCGACCAATTCTGTTTTGACAAGCTTCATGGAAATTGGTAGCTGGATAAAGATCCAAATTTGTGCCCCAGGTGGGATTCAGCTGCTCTCTGCACTGGCACCAGCTGGGCATGGGCTCACAGCCACTGCTTAATGGTGAGCAATGGGAGACAAAGGAGAAACTGGGATCATTGCAGTGAAAAAGCCTGCAGGATATTGGACACATCAGGTTTCATTAGTTGTGTTCACAGGACAGCTGGGGCTGTGTGTACTTGGCATTGTATGAACTGTACCTGGTAGAATACAGCAAATTAGATATTTTACTGATTGCTGGTTAACCTGCCTGATGATGTTGACAATAAGACACTGCTGTATTGTTGTCTCTATCCCTGCTGGTTGCTGTTTGTGCTGCACTGAAGCACGTGAAGGTACAGAGCAGCACTGCAGCATCACTTTGATTCAGAATAAACTCAGAATAGTTCTCTGAGCTTCATGCTGCTTGAACCTGCCACTAAGTTGGCTACAGCAACATCAGTTGGATACATGCTGGTGAAAGAAACCAGGCACCCTGTCTTTGCTGGAGCCTAGTCTACTGGGGATCTCCTTGCTGCTGTAACATAGTGGTGGTGTGATGGATGAGGATGTTAATGAGAGAGAGCCTCCTACTCCAATGTATTAGAGTCCAACAGGTCTGCAAGCACAAGAGTCCTTCTCTGATGCTGTGTTGGGGGCGATAGCAAACAGCTAATCCCTCTCCAACCTTCCTGTGCTACCCAAGCTTTTGTAGACCTCTTCAAGGTGCCCCTTAAGTTCTCTTTTCCAGGCTGACTTATCCTGGACTACCCATCTAATCCTTCTGTGGAAGCTCTTCCATACTTTCCACCAGTCTTTTTGCCCTTCCTGGAACCCTTTCTGGGTCTAACATACGCTTTGAGGGGATTAGAACTATACATAGGATCCAAGGTAGATTTGTATAGTGGTGTAATGCTGTCTTCTGCTCAGTTTTCTATTGTTTTACTAATAACTGCTAAAATTTGATTTACCTTTTCTAATGCTACCAAACAGAGGAATGATATTTTCATGGGCTTGACTACTCATGATAAGCCCCAAAATCTTCTCTTTGAGGGGTTTGTGTCTCGTTAAAGCCCATAATTTTATCATTTGAACTTGGAATTGCTTCTCCCATTTGCACAATGCTATGTTCGTATGTACAGAATTTTGTCTGTCTGCAAGTCTTTATTCCTGACCTTAATGCACTGAATTATTTTTGGTTGATTACTCATCTTTTCCAGAGAAGAACTTCTAGAGAACTTCATTATCAATTGATCAGAAAGAGTAAAAAAAGGTCAGAAAGAGTAAACAGTACTTCTTGAAGTTGGTAGTGCAGACCTTTGGGAAGGACGTTGTTTTGCCAAGAAAACATTTGTGAGAGTCTCTTCAAGGCTGTCTTTACAAATAGAAAATATGAAGCTGGTGAAAGAAAGAGGGAGGTCTTCAAGCAGAAGGCAGAATCAGGAACTGAAAGGATTAAGAAAATGTAAACAAAGACAAAGAGGTGGAGACTAAGCCAAATATTTAGCAGTGTAAGAGCACAGAGCTTGTTCTTGCTGCTCAACACCACAGAATGATAACAGGCCTTAAATGTTCCATGGAAAGGGAAACCAAATAGTAGATTGGACTCTCTGGTGGTAGTATCATGCTGAATGTCTTGGAAAAAGAAGGAGAACAGGACAGAATGGGATAGGATAGAATAGTTCAGTTGGAAAGGTGCTACAATGATCTTCTAGTCCAACTGTCTGACCACTGGGCTGACCAACAGCTAAAACATGAAGGCCCCTTAAACACTAACAGGCTTAGGGCATCAGCCACCTCTCTAGGAAGCCTGTTCCAGTGTTTGACCACCCTTTTAGTAAAGAAATGCTTCCTGATGTCTAGTCTAAACTTCCCCTGATGCAGATTTGAACCATTCCCAAACATCCTATCACTGGATACCAGGGAGAAGAGATCAGCACCTCCCTCTCCACATCACCTCCTCAGGAAGCTGTAGAGAGCAATGAGCTCGCCCCTCAGCCTTCTTTTCTCCAAACTAGACAAATGCAGAGTCCTCAGCTGCTCCTCATAGGACATGCCTTCCAGCCCTTTCACCAGCTTTGTTGGCCTCCTCTGGATGCATTCAAGGAGCTTAACATCCCTCTTAAACTGTGGGGCCCAGAACTGCACACAGTACTCAAAGTGAAGCTGCACCATTGCTAAATCCAGCAGGAGAATCACCTCTTTTGACTGGCCTCTCTCCGGAAGTGTAGGAAGGAAGCAGTTGTGGTACATAAAATCTGAAAATGGAGAAATGAAGCTTCAGTGGGGCTCACTCAGCATCTCTGGAAAGTATAAGATCTAGCTTTTTCTCCTTCCACTCGCTGCTCCGGAGTTCCCGTCAGCTAAAATGTCCTATTTTATGCTTTTTCACTGGATTATGATACAGACCTTTATAGGTGAGTCTTCACCTGATTTTTTGTGTGCTTGCTCAGAAAATGAATATTTCATAACATTAAAAACAGTGACACTTGTTTTGTGAAAACAAAATGGTGAAAAAGGTCGTAGCTGTGTGCAGAAATTCAAAAGTTTTTTAACTTACTGAGTTAATACTGATCGAGAATTCTATTTTTCTTTTTAAAAATGTGTGTGGTTTCCTCTCTGTATAGCCTTTGTTAATTCCCCCATCCCCCCAGATTATCTAATTTCTTTACTACTGTTAAATGTGTACTGCTGGCTTTGCTCCTTCATCTGTCTCTCCATCACACTACAGCCCAAGCTGGGGAATTGAAATGTTGACACAGTAATGAATGTATATACATGATAAAGAAAGGATTTGCCGAAATTGAGGGCTGTCTGCTGCTGTGAACTGAGTATGGGAAAGCGTGGCTGGAGATTCCTCTCCTTTTACTCCCAAATGTTCAGTTCGCCCATATAAAATCTGGATTCTAAAAGAGATAGAAGTCAAAGAAGAGTAACTTGGGAGACCAGGTCTTGAAACCGTGTTGATATTGGCTAAGTTTCTGCATATGCATTTAGGCATCAGCAATGCAGTTTCCAAGTTGCCTGAGGTGGCTCAGGAATGTGAGTTCCCCCACTTTCTATGGGACATGAGCTCCTAATGGGAGTTGTGCTCTTAAATCATTTAGGCATTTCAGGAAATTCTGTCTCGGGTGACTAAATATGAATTGGCTAACCTCTGCCAGGATGAAATATTACATATAACATCTACAGCAACTGCAATGTTCTTAAATTGATCTGAAAAGTAGTGGAAAAGTTTGGTCAGTGGTGAGATGATACACTGAGGGGCAAGAGGTGATCCGTGCCCCTTTGAGGCAAGATAACACAACCCTCACAGTGTCTGCTGTACAAGTGAAGCTTCGCCAGCACTTTGCTGAAGCCCAGGGAATTCTGTAATATTTTTTGACTTTTGCCAGTCTCAGCAGAAGAATCAGGAAGGCTCTTTCCTTGCCATACCTTCAGCCTCAAAACAAATTCAAGGTACTTGCCTCCATTTGGTCTTATTTTCAAAAACTTTCTTATATGCAGAGCTACTGAAGGGTGAGAATGGCTCTTCATTACCTTCTCTTTAACTTGGCTTAGCACTGAGAATGTGTAGTCCTGAGCATCAGAAAACCAGCATAGTGGGCAGTTAAATGGTTCTTTTCAGTTTATCACTAATTTTCTCTGCAATTTCATCAGTACAGCAGCTTCACGAAGAAATAAAAAGAAACAGCATTGATAGGGAAAAGATGCCAAGTATCTCCTACAAAGAAGGAAAATTATTCCAGAAATAGATCAAGGAAAAAAAATTCTTTTTCAATCAGCTGTCTTGTGTGGAGGACGTATGTCTTTGTCCATCCAATGACCAGCCTACTGGAGAGAAGACGACTACAACAGCCACTATTTGAATTACTGCTTAATACCAACTGTTACTGAGGGCTGATTCAAGAGAGGCTTTACATAAATATGTGTATATCTGTATGATGTGAACAATTATGAATACCCTTTCTATTTTGGAAGATATATTAAACATCTGGAGTCCATTTCTCTCTCACTTGGGTTAAAGACTTAGAGTGGTAAACTTCACTGACTTCAGTGGGACTACCCAGGAATAGCTGATGCTTAGGGTGCCTTGGGTCAAATCTGGATGTATCAGAGGGTCATTGCCATGGACAAGAGTAGGATTCCTCTCACAGTAAGACTAGGACATCACAATGTAACAGTCTCAGGAACCTCTTAGTTTCAAAGACGTGTTCATTCAGTCCTATTTGCTATTTCTTTTGGAAAATGTGTCTGTGGAACAGGCTGAAACTGAGAAGGAAGTTGTTTAGTCCTTGCAGAGGTTCATATTGTTGAATCAAGGCTGTTGCAGTATTGAAGCTTTCCATATCAACCTGCAGTGCAGGCAGATGTTAGCAACATTAGCTTCACATAAATTAAAAGAGGATTTGAAACTGCAAAACCTGTGAGTTTCTAGCACCAATACTGGTGGGAAACTGCACTGGCGACACTCTGGTGCCTTGTGTCTTCCCTCTTCTTTTTATTTATTTATTTAATAGGTTCAGGGCTCTGCTTCTTTCAAAGAGAAGAGTAGGCAAAGTTTCATTTATTTAAGAGTTGCTTAACGAAGGCGCTTTTGTGCTGTGAAGGACTGGGATGAAATAAGAACAGAAGATGAGCCCATTTCTTCCCAAGCAACAATGACCTTAGCTCCAAGAAAAGTTCAAGCTGGTCTTGGTTTTGCACACATCTTTGTTGGGGTGACTTGAAAATATGTGTTAACCCACTCAGTGACTAACCCCCTGCTCCCTTAGGAATACTTTCAAGGTCAACTGGATGAATTGTTTTGTTCTGTTGTCACAGAAAGAGTCTGTTTCCTCTGTTTGTTTTGCTGTAACAAGGCAAATAAACTTACCTTTTCCAAGGACTAAAACAAGCAGCCATCTTGCAAAGCCTTATCCTGTATTCAGGAATTCATTTTTTGGCACATCCTACCTTCATTTCACTGCAAAAGCTTCTGCCCTTCACACCATATTGCATGTTGTTTTGTCTGCCTTTACTCTTAGCATTTGGAGCTGTAGAAACATGAATGAGTTGGCTTATCTTGCCAAGGGGATAAGCAATAATGAAGCTGAAATGTCATCCCAATAACAAGTCATGAGGCAGCCTGCCACAGACTAAAACCTCACCTGGGGAACAGTCCATTAAAGACAAAACAAAAGAGACATGGACACAGTTGGAAGCATCTGTCTGCTACCTGGGAGTCATGCCAAAAAGAAAAGGCATCCAAACAGCTGGCAAAATAGAAATGTTTGGCAAACCAGGGCCAAAGCTGGTGATAATAGCGGCAACTGTTGTAAGTCCTCTTTGGGGTAAGCAAGCTGGCCATGAATCATCAGATCTGTGGGACGATCCTCTTGCTGCAGCAGAGGACCAGATCTGGATGCTTCCCAGGTTCCTCAGTTCCTGCTCCACCATATGTAAATGATAACATGCAGGAAAAAGGCAACAAGGTAGGAGGACCAACACAGACTAGACGAATGTAAACCAGAAAAATTCCTGCATGGGAACCTTTTTTTTTTACAGTGCCTTTAATGAAGAATGATTCCCTTTTAGGGCAATCTGGGAACTGTATAGACAGTTAAGAGGGAACAGTATGTAGTGAAGATTCAAACCAGATGCTAAGATGGGTATCAGCTGTAAACACCAAGTAAAGCTGGACATTAAGATTAAGACCACAAGGAAAGCGTGCATATGCTCTTTTTAACATCAGTATAACCCTAGCAGTTAAAGCTTCTACGTACACAGTGCTCTGCAGGGTAAGTGGGATAGTTGTCAGGGCTTGCTCAGGAACAGAAAAAAGCAGTGCACTTTCTGAGAACAGGTTTCCATAGACAGATCCCACTGCTCTGCCAGCTTAATTAGGCCCTAATTTCACACATGAATAGGTATTTTGGATCCTGCTATTGACACTGTCAGTGAAAGGCAACTGTGACAGCATTTCCTTTTTGAAGATGATGGTGGACTGAGAAAACCAGATGTATTTCACACCAGGTTTCTGAACAACTTTCAAACAGTCTCTTAGGAGACGAGGTGGGATAGGAGCAGAGTTTCCAAATTCCATTTGCACAGGTCTAGGCTGTGCTCAGGCTGCCAGTGACAGACTTTAGCTTTGCTCTCCGTTTTGATGTGAGTGATGTATTTCATGAGCAGCCCTCCAGCAGCTGGCCAGGGCCAAAGCACGGAGCGCTCCAGCAGCAAGCCAATGTCTGCAAGCTCCTGACTCTTGCCAGTAGTGCCCCAAGCCATTAGCTGCCACAGGCTCCAGGGGAAGGCTTGGCGGATCAGTAACTGTGGTGTGCCTGCACACGGGAGTATTTCTTTTCCTGCCTCATTGTGTTGCATAGAGTCACGCATTGGAGACTGCCAACACTCCTCTTTCCTTGTTCTTCCTTTACAGTGCACACTGCATCCGAAGCTGTTGTTAGAGGAGTAATAGGGCAAAATGTTCAGTTGCCTTGCTTCTACCAGGTGGCACGACGCAAAGACATCTCCGATATGTGCTGGGGCAGAGGCCCGTGCCCAAAATCAAAGTGCAGTGACAAAATTTTGCACACCACTGGGAATAGGGTGACGTTCAGAAAATCTCAGAGATACAATCTTCAGGGCTATATTTCCTATGGAGATGTGTCTCTCACGATCGGGAAAGTGAAGGCAGAAGACGCAGGTATATACTGCTGCCGTGTAGAAATCCCGGGTTGGTTCAATGACATCAAAAAGAACATGCGGCTGGAGGTGGTCAGAGGTGAGTTTGGGGACCTTTATGATACAGCCAGTAAGGAGAAACTTCTTACTGGATTGGACTTTAAAACTGGAGTTCATGTGATTTTTTTTGTTTGTTTGTTTGTTTTGGCAAAAAGTGTTTTTCCTAAATTACGTCAAGGGAGGTCTGCAATCATTTGACAATTTGAATCACAATCAATGAGGAGTTTTGATGAGAAAATAGTAACTTTTACCCTTCTTTTGCCTTTCAAACGAAATACTTAATTTCGTGTTGTATAGCTATATTTGGCATTTTAAAAGATGATGGAATTAAAAAAGGGATTTACCATTTGAAGAACCCTTCGAAAGAAATTCACTTTTTCATTTGGGATTCACTCTGACACCAAAAAGGCTTTTGTTTGGTTCATGTCATAAAGAGACCCATGTGTTTAGAAATTTTGTCTCAGAGTCGTGAAGGACTTTTTCCCCTTCCTATTATTTTGCTGAACTGCAGGATAAAGTAAGGGTCTTACAAAGTTGAGAAGATGCTGAAAAGCATTGCAAAGCACAGAAAAAAAGATGGTACCCACCCTCCATGTTGCAGAAAGATATTTTTTTTCCTGACCTTTACAGAGCGTTTAGGAGTGCAATTGGTGTTGATGTTCACAGCACTCTTGTGTGCCTGTTGTAAGTGATATAACAGGAGAGTTGGGGAAAAATGCTGCAATCCCGTGTCTGTCCCTGAGTTGGAGGGTAACAGAGTTAAAAAATGTCCAGTTGAAAAGATTAACAGGACACATGTAGCTGAAAGTCAAGGTATTATATTTATTTTATTTTTATGGGGATATTGAAAAGCAAAATCACAGTTTGCAAGGTTTTGGGTTATACCATGCAGGATTCTAGCTTTTCCATTTCTATAAGAAGGTCAAGGAGGGAGTGTTTGAGACCTACCAAAAAAAAAAAAAAAAAAAAAGGAAATCTGGGAATTGCTCTGGCTGGGGCACGTTTTCTGCTAATTAAACAGCCTTTTAAAATAGTGACTCTCCCACCTTCATTCTCAGTGTTTTAGAAGCTAGATAACTTTCATTCATTTCTGGGTTGGCTTTCCTCAGGGTCGGTTGTGAATGCTCTGGTCTAGCTTGTCTCTTGACTGTGTTTTTTCCATACAGCGCCTCCAGTGTTGACAACCACCACAAGAAAGACTCCCATTTCCCCCAAACATTTTAGAATAACAACTTCTGCTCCTGAAGCAACCTCTGACCATCAAACGACAGCAGAGACTGACCTGACAACCACCGTCCCCCCAGCAACAACTGCAACCACCAGTCATCAGACAACAGCAGAGACTACTGTCCTCCTGACAACCACTGTGCCTCCAGCAACAACTGCAACCACCGAGTTTCCAGCAGTAATTACACTGGAGACCGTTGCTCCCCCAACATTTGCTGTGACAGCAAATGATACATTTCCAGAAACTATGGTGACAACCAGTGCTCTCCCAGATTTTTCAGCTGGTTTCCAAGCAGGTGGCATGAGTACTGAAGATGACTACGTGTTCTGCTCAGCAGAGTCTGTCTATCTTCCTGGAAGTACAGGAGGTAACCTATTCTTTTTTCTGTGTAACAGATATGGTCTGTGTTAGCCTAACTCTGGCATCATAGACACTCTCCAGATACTTACATTTGTGGATGGGAATTTTTCTCTGAGATGCATATAGGTGTGTCTCAGTAGGTTTAAGGAAACACGGGTCAAATACTGTGAATGATGCCAAACTGGGGTGAATGGCCAAGATAGCAGAGGGTCAGGCTTGATTTCAGAGGAGTTTTGACAGGCTGGAGAAACAATGTGACAGAAACCTCTTGAAGAACAACAGAAATAAATGCAAAGTCCTGCACCTGTGATGGAGTAAGAGAGACTCACTCAACTATGCACTAATTTTTTTCTTGATTTAGGAAAGACAATTGAATGGTCTGCTGAAAAGGCTAGTTTAGAGCATGTCCTGCTTGAGCAATAAAGACAGTGAGAGTTCAAAACGTTCTTAAAATTGAGTACTTACATTGTCATCACATATGAAGGCTGCTGTTGTTATTAATATTTAGCTGATCAGAGTGACCTGTTATCATCCTAACATTTCCTAGGTTGATACTTTATCCACATCCGTGACTTCTTTTCCACAGATTGATGTCTGCGCACAAGGCTGGGTTTTGTACATTTTTTGGGTCTTCTATCACTTGAAGTTTTTTCTGACCTGAACTTCTGAGGACAGCTCTTTTCTTGTCTTCCAGACATAACAATGCACCCCAGTTAAACTTGGCAACAATTAATTACATCCACAGCTGAACAGTTAAACATCTAAGCACTGGCCATGCTAGTAAAGTACATCAGTTATCTGGGTAGACATGCTGCAGACATGAAAACCAAGGTGCAGATTTTTCACCTCTTAGTTGCAGACGCAGAACTTTGCAAGCAATTTTGAGTGCTATATGAAGACCCTCCTAATCAGTGATCTCTATAAGCATTACTTTTTACTTTGTTTCAGTGACTACTGAATTTCCAAATACACTTCTGACTGCAGAGGGAACTAAAAGTGCTCACAATTCTCTCGTGGTGGATGACCAGCCAGCTGTGGGTGAGTAGGATAACGTGGCAAGGTTGGAAGTTGCACGTTCAAAGAAATGAAGAAATTGTCATAAAACAAGTATTGACAATTCTTAAGAGTGTACCAAACATGTACTGATAGCTATTCACTGCATCTGGGAGTAATAGGTAACTGGGGTCCACACAGAAATAATTTGAAATCAGGATGAAACAACAGCTGAGAAAAACATGTTTTTAAGCCTCCAGAGGAAGTAGATTTTGAGTCTCTCACTATTGTTGAGTATCTCAGGTCTGAGAGAAGTTAACAACTGGTCTTTATCACCATCCAAGCTGAATTCTCAGATATCTGATTTGTCATCTCTGTGAGTTCATTGAGCTTTCCATTTAAAATCCTCCCTGAGTGTTGTGGCCTTTGAACCCCACTGAATATATTCGACCAGATGTGGCTGCAGGCTCAGCTCTCCAGCGCTCAACATGTGTCCTTGGTCATGATGGAAAGCAGCAGGCAACTACCACAACCATCAGTCATTCCTTCAAGAGAAAAGGAACTGGCACACAAAATCATACTGTATCTGAGAAATGAACAAAGTTACATGAAGTTTGCACTTTATGTCTCTCAGTCAAGTATAAAAGTAGAATGGCTCCAGTTATTCAGGTGTGATAGTCTGCCCACCAGATGCCCTCAAATGAAGACTTAAAAAAAAGGAAAGCTGATATTCAAGAATGGTCTGTCATATTTGACTGTTAAGAGAGTCCTTTTAGTTTCAGCTAGTGCCAAGAATCTCTTCATTCTTAAAAACACAGTATTTAGACCTAGAGACTTAGAGCAGAAACAGAGTTTAGGAAACTGTTCCTTAATGCCCCTGGAGAGGGCTCACACAAGAGACTAAACTGGTCTCTTGAGCATTTGTGAGGGTTTCTCACCCATGTCTTACTTGTCATCTTTCTGATATAGTTCTGGATAATGCCTATATTCTACCATTATAAAAAGGAAATTTTGCAAAGGGTCTTGCCTCTGGGATTCTGGGGGCAACTCAAGTTGTGACTGTGGGCTAGAAAGAGCCACCACAAAAGCAGTAACAGCAGAAAACATACGGTGCTTATGTGAGTCATGTACACTCCCACCCATGAACAAACTTGTGTCATGCTATTTCCGAGAGCCAAACTGTCATATAGTGTGAAGATGCTGCTGCGGCATAATTGAGTTCTTGACTCAGTCTCCTTTTACTGTGTGAAATGATGCACTAAATGGACCAACTTCAGCCTTACTGTAATATAAGGGAAGGCTAATTTGTTGCTGAACTCTGTATTGGTGTTAGCACAGTGTCTGGGAGAGAAACCCATAGTTGAGAGAGCCCTCCATCTCCAAGCACAATTCTTGCCAGATAGGTTGGTGTAGCTGGGGGGGCCGGTTCCCTCTGATTTAGTTTCTCTTCTGTCTTCACCTGCTTTCCCCCAGCAACAACCCTGCCAGTGCCAACCACGCTTCAGACCCCAAAGAGAACCCGTGCTCCTTCAGGTACGGAAGGTAAGCAGCAGTGCTTGTTCCCATCAGCCAGGCGGCAGCATGCTGCCATAAAGTTTAATTTTGACTTGTGGGACATGCATGTCAGAGCAAGATACGCACTTCTTGTGTATTTGGGGGTAGTTCTGCTGAACTACGTTTCCCTTCTCTTCTGAGATAGGAAAGAAGAGGTGTCATAAAATAGGTATATAGCAAAATATTATGTTCACATATCTCTGGGATTTTTAGCACTTGCAAGGGTTTTATTACTTATATTTGTTTAGCTGTAGTGCTTATTAGCCATAAACTCTTTTCTATTCCAGTGCCAATTTCTAGCTACGGTAGCATGCATATGAGCTACCTGTGCCCTGTCCATGTCTCCGGTAAAATGCAAGCATGTTGTTTGACACATGGAGACAAACCAACTCAGCTCTCTTAAAGAGCTGATCAGAACTGAGAAGTCTGGGGGAGATTAGGTTATTCACTGAATACCATATTCTGAAAAGTTAAAAAAAAAAGAAAAAGAAAAAAGTATTTTTTTCCCCTAATGGGATTATTTGTGACCGTCACGATGATCACCCCCATCACCATGTGATGTTCTGGGTGTCTCATGCGTATAGAGTTTCCTTTGGCTGTGGTCATGGGCACTGCAAGCGTGTTACATATACATGCCTCGACAAATGACTCATCTGGTCCCTGGTACATTTTGCTCAGATAGAGGCTCCATGATTGTTCTCTTGTCAAACCTTTGAAAGTGCTACTCATCCTAGTCTTTCTATACATTAGGGCGTGACCTAAGGCATAGGAGCCTTTCTGTCATAGGATGTAAGCTGAGGTTTTGATTCACTAAGCTGAATGACTCCTATATTTTTAAGACACTGCTAAACACTGTGTGACAGCCCTGTGAGAGTCAATTGCTCCAAATACTTAAATACTTCAGTACTTTGTAGTGTGAGGTCATGATAAGCCAAGGCCCAAGCCTAGGTTAACCTTTTGTGATTTCAAATTCACTGGCAAAAGAGAGTAGGATCATAGGATAACAGCAGAAATGTTTGCTGCAAGAGTTCTTGAGCATTCATTTAGTTCATCCCTATTTCCAAAGCTTAGAAAACTAGAACTGAATTATTCTTAATATCCCTAGATAAAAAAAAAAAAAAAAAGTATCATCTTCATAGAGCTTTCTTAAATTTGTGGTAAGTTATCTGAGCATAAAGATGTTTCCTGTGGTTTTCAGTACTAATGCAGCTTTTGAAAAATGCAATCACACGTAAGTCTGACCATAATTAAACTGAGGTAGTTGCTTCACTTAGACTTGTGCCCTGTTTACTACCTCTGCTCTCTATGACATCTTGCCATGATTACAGAAGTGAAAACTCCTTCACAGCAGACAGGTTTGTACTGTCTTGCTTCCTGGGCTATCCCTGGGAAGCCTTCTCTTTCCTTGATGAAGACTGACATTTCCCAATGACCGCCTGATATATTATTTGTGGTGGGAACAGATTGTTCCCTTTTTGATTGCAAGGTGCTTTATTTCTCCTACTCAGGGCCAGATTTTGCCCTTTTCACTCCCTAAGAGTTCATTATTCCTTGACTAAGGTAGTGACAGCCACAGTGGCCCTCATTCCTTCAGGTGACTATACCAGTAATAATTTCAATCTTTATTTTCAGAGATTTCAGAAAGTTCAGACAGCAAGGCTGAGAAACATGATGATAATGGAGATAAGGTAAAACTTCCTCTAAGTTTCAAGAGTGTTTAACTAGAAGCCAGCAGGACATGCTAGTGATTTTCAATGTATTCATACTAAAGGGACAGCGTTTGCAAACAGTGGCTTGAACTTTTGTTTAGAAGCTCAGGAACCACCTGTTCATCTTTTCAGAGAATAGAGCCAAAACCTGTGACCATCCCATCTGGCTTGGATGCTTCAGAAAAACCTCATCCCCCTGACACCCCTGTAAGAGAGGCAGAGGTAGCATCCTTGGGTATGCCAGGCAAAAAACAACTTAGGAGGGTTGTTATGCTTCCCTGTCTCTAATTCAGAGAAGAATGAGGGTGATTAAGCTCCTACTTTAGACACCTTATTAAGAAGTTCATGTTAAGTGGGATGAATCTAGGCTCAAATGCTTCAGAAGAAGATTTATTAACTACCTAACAGGTAATTCATGTTGTTTATCATGCTCAACCTGACGTGTCTTCTCCATACTTTGTACAGGCAAGCTCAGAAAAGCATTGCAAAGTCCAGTCTGGTGCAGATATTTCAGAGCTCTTAGCCACTAGGGCAACCCACTCTTGCATGAATAGGTCTGATGTAAACATGCTTCTAAAGCTTGTTTAGTTTTTCTCCCTTCCAGTTTCCCAGGTATGCCATTCTCACTGCCATTCTCATAGTGGCGTCCATTCTTTTAGCATCGATGCTCTTATTGTTGTTCTGGAAACGTAAGTATGCCTAAGCACGTAATTGATTAATGTTTCTAATGCTGGCCTAGTGCAGATGTCCTTCTGTAACTCTGGTTAATCTTCTGGTAAATCTGCCGTGGCCCCTGTGACAGCACTCTGTTCATTTTATGGGCTTTGCTGTCCTTACTCCAGGACTGTGTCACCATGAGGAGACCAGGGAGCATGAGTTGCATGGGGATGCAGCAGGAGGAAGCTTGTGCAAAGAACCTGTTTACTCACTTGTTGCAGGTCTGGCTTATCTTGTTGGCTCTTGCATTATAGTAAAGTGGTCCCGTAGTTTCCTGGAGTTGGTCCTGACAGATATTGGTGTAGCTTAAATCAGAGTGAGATCCTTTCTTTTCTGCTTAGCCCATAGAAATTTTGCAACTTGCTATATTTGCTTCTGAACTCATTTGACAGATTCATTAGAATTATAGTTTTCTTTTTGTTGTTGTGACATTAATATTATTTTGCTTCTAGGTAAACACACAAAGAAGTTTATAATAAAAAGGTAATCCATTCTGTAATTTCCTATTAAAAGTTTCAATGTAATTTTTCTTAGAGGCAGGAAGGTATTGGCTGCTGATTGTAATGGGTGTAGCATTGGCTTGTGGTGCTGACTACCAAAGTTGTATTACAAACAAGCTTCAGATAACTTCACTCCAAAAAATCAAACAGTGGTTCCTGGATACTGCTTTTATGTAGCAATGAACAGACATCCAGAGCACTGGAGAACTTCAGCACCTAGTACTTACAGTTATGTAGTGAACCCAGCTTAAGGAATTACCTGGTCTGCTTTGCTCATTGATCAAATACAAGGGCATGACCCTGGTGGGGTTATTTTAAAGAAATGAAGAGATAAATGGTTGTGATGAACAATGGGCAAAATAATTGCTCAGAAAGGGATCAGGGATTTATGGACAGTCCTACACAGAATAGCAATTCATGGCAATGCACAACACATGGGCCCCATGAAGGGTACACTGCAGCAGCACGGCAAACCAAGCTTTCCACCACTAGGTAAATCTTGCAGATCTCATGGGGCCACTGCACCCTCTCACATGCTCCTTGGGTCACACTGAAGTATCTGAGGTGATCGGTTTGAGGCAGATATGAAACAGAGACGTATAATGAGTCACCTTGTGTGGGTGTAACTGGTAAATTCATGCCTTCTGGCTTACCTTGATAAAAAGATTTTCTCTAGACAAACCATGGGGTAGTCCAGTGAAGTATCATCCCTTTGCCAAAGACAAATAGTTTTTCGATGGTGGATGATCCCCTGCTGCATACTCCACCTAGGAGATAAGGATTGGGGGTCAAGGAGGGACTCCTTTCTGAATCCCATGGTGGTTACCCCACAGCTATCATTACAAGATCTGAACAGCCATTTCCTATCCATCAAAAGAATGCAAGTGAGGCAACTACTTCTCTGGTGTAAAAGGTAGGGATTGCACCATTGGAGTCAGGAACTCAGTAGCTTCTGGTCTCTGTTTCAATGGGAATTTGCCAACATTACAAATAAGTAAGGATGCCCTGAAGCAGCAATGTGCTTTTGCCCCACTCACAGTGATCTATGCTTCTCACTACAGCCTTGGACAAGTGGAAGACCTTGAAAAAGTTTTCAGTGGCGCTGAAGGAGAAAACAACATTTTTTCCCTGTGAAGAGCTCCTACATGATCTGCAGATGCCATGGAAAATAAAAACAGCCTGTTTCATGCTGCATTGAGAGATACTTATGAGCCCTCAAAATATCAATGGGTGTAAACCAAAGGCCAAAGCTTCAACTGTGAAAATTTAAAATCTTTGTGCAAATTTTGCCATCTCACCTTTAAAACTCATTGCATAAAGAAGCTTCTTTGAGAAGGTACTTTATGCGTCATTCATAGGTGTTTCTGGCATCTTCCTTCTTACTAATACCATGTTACAGAATTGAATTTGTTTTTCTTTGTTTTTACTAATGCTCTTCCTTAAATGCAACTTATACTGTGAGGAACAGAAGAGAGAAGAAATAACATGGAATGCTGCCTAACTTCAAACTGCCAAAAAAAGAAAAAATAATCAGTAAATACAGTTCTTATTGCTTTTATATAATCAAGCCAAAAATTAAGCCACAAGAATGCTGTAAGTATAAATCAAAAATGCAGATTACTTAAGGGGTACCAATGCTGCCTGTGATTCAGCATGTTTGAATGACCCTTGGAGACTATGTTAATAAACTTTGTAATTTACTGCTAGCAATTGTATTTTTTATGCCACATCCTAAGGCATTTGAACAGGAGTTAGTTATTCCCCAGGTGTTGAAATGACTGATGTGTTGTCTCAGCTCTCCAAAGAAGTACTGCAGCATTTCCAGAGTTGCGAAAATGCCCGGAAGACCAACCTGCAGGGAAATTTTTCTATCTTGCCCCACAAACCCCCACGCCACTCATTTGTAAATCAATGTCTACCCCATCAACATGCGTAGGGGATCCCCAGTCATTTGTCTGGAGTTGCCTTTTGGTCCTCATGACAATGACCTGGGAAAACCAGCAGCTCTTGTGGTGGAATATGCTTGGCAATGCTGACCTGCACTGTGCAGCACCAGGGTGCTTTATTCATGGCTCCAGCATCGAGTCACAAGGTAGCATAGTGCTGTCTGGCTGGGTTTTGTATGGATGAGACTTGGGTGCCCAGTCCTACGAGTGCTGCCCATTTAGCTTTTAGGGAAGTTGCAGGTGAGAAGCACAGCCACATCTTGGAAACTTGGCCATCTTTTCAGGTGCCCAGGGGAGGTGGCTGAAGCCACCTCTGTTTTTGAGCAGCACAAGCAAAAATTCCAATGATCTCCATGGAAGGGCTCTGGGGACACTAAAAACAGTGAAGAAGAAGAGATGAAGCGTGGCATTCACCTTCTGCTGCTTCTAGTGGGACAGAAGTGCTGTGGGGGAGAACATTGTTCCTGCTGGGGACAGGACATTGTTCCTTCTGGGGACAGAATTTGTTCTCAGTCCTCTGCAGCAAAAAGCTGCCCCTGCACTCCTACCCCATCCTCAGGGGCACCGGCAGGTCCTGCCATCCCTGTTCCCAGGACTTCGGCACTGCAGAGCTGGCACACAGGCTGTGGCTGTTTGGCTGTTCAGACATATCCCTGTGTTGTTCTTAGAGATGACTCTGAGGATGGGGATAGTTTAGACACTGTAGGCTGCATGGGCACATGTGTGGTTAGCACAGAAGAACAGCCCAGCTTCACACTGTGGACCTTGGCTTGGGCCTGGGATGCCTGAGCAGGAGGCAGGGCTGCTGGCAGCACAGAAGAGTTCAGAAAAGTCTGAAATCCTTCCTGTTATCCTCAAGCCCTGTAAATGCTGCCATAATGATAGCTCTGCAGCAATAACCTTGTCTTCTACTCAGCTGGGAAAACTGGAGCCTTCAAGTAGCTGCAGGCTACATCAGCAATGCATGGCAGAGAGAAGCCCGTCATTTCACCATGCTGACTGCACCCTTTCTGAGGGGACTTTTGCTTGTGTTTTGCACTGGTTGAGATTTAGGCTTTAAAAACCAGACTGAGTTGGTAACCAGCCTGGTGACATTAGTGAAGTGGGACTGGCCATGGAGGCTGGGAGATAATCTATGAGATACAAGGCAGAACTTTCGTGTGTGTCATTGAGGTCCTCACCAACTCTGCTGCAGTGACTATGGGAACAGCATGGGAGAAGGTTCGAATCCATGACACCGTTTGTTGTCTCCATTGCCTGGAGTTCACCTGCTATAGAAACTGTGGGCAACGACAACTTGGAGTAAGAGTACATTGTGGGAATAACATTTAATCAGAAGAAAGCACCATGTGGCAGCTCTGGACTTCCCCGCTAGTCATGCTCAGGGCTGTGGTGAGACTTTTTGATTCTGCAGCATTTTCTTACAGTCCATGAGCTAGGGGGAGGCAGGAGAGGTTCCTCTTTGGGGTCCTGCTCAGTCTCGCCCGGGTTCAGCACCCTGCTGCGCACCCTAGTCTGGCGGCGCTGTGGGAGGCAGAGGAGAGCCCCCACAGAGAATGTGGCCTGCAGGCTCCCGGACTGGGTTTGCTCAGCTGAGACCTGTGTCTGTTCCACACTGGTTAATGTGGCTGCCACCGCCCCAACACACAACACGCGCTGCGCACTGGGGCCTGGCACCCAACGCTACTTCTAGGCATGAATCCCACACAGATCTGTAAGGAATAAAAGGAGGAAAAAAACCCAAAATGAAACGGGTTTGATGTAATCCTTTAAAAAAAAACCCCCCTTTTTTTTTTTTTTTTTTTTTTTGCCTTCCCACCCCCCTCAAGTAAACCTGCTCATTAAGCAATATTGCAACTTCTAATTGGCAGGGCTGGGCCAATTATTCTGCTCTTATTAATTAGCTCTGCACTAATGACTTCTTTAGAGCAGGGCTGGCTCTTGTTAGTGAAGGTTCTAGCACATTTGCTGTGGTGCTGGCTGGACTTGAAGGTCCTGCTTCGGGGAACTGCACGAGGGCAGAAGAAATAGGAGCCCACAAAGTGAGTCTGATCTGATCAGTGGAAATGCAGCCCAGAAATGCTGTAAGGGAGCTGTAAGTGTAACTTGCATCACTGAGGTTTTTTTAATTTATCTTTTTATCCACCCCAATTACCGAGGCTGAGGTTTGAGTTTAGAGTGGCAACTGGAAGCAGCGAATCTGAGAGGGTTATATTTAAATGAAAATACATTGAAGTAATTTCTGAGGATCTAGCCCTGGCTGTTGGTATGTTCAGTGAAAGGTTAAAGGGAGCTTTCTGAAATGTAGCTGGAGGAAAAAGAAATGCTCTTTTCCAAAAGAAACAGAAGCCTCAGAATGCTGTTTCTGTGTCTAGTGAAGAAAAATTGGATGAAAGCAGCAGGTTTTTAGAAAGAAAAGACTGTCAGAGAGTATGTCAGTGGCATCTGGAAATGTTAGTCTTTATTTTTAAGACCTTTACCTTGGAAGGCAAAGAAGTGGTGCACTTGAGTAAACATAAAGCACTGCAGCCAAGAAAACCCTCCAGTAAGGAGCTTAAAACAACACACAGAGATTTAGCTGCAAAGCCCTACAGGGGCCAGTGTTTCAGACTGGCAAAACTGACAAAAGATAACCTGGCCCCTGGCAGTGCTGCGAAGCTCATGATGTTGTGTTGTGGGGTGCAGGTTTCCTCA